ATGTACGATGACGTGCAACAAGCTTCGCTTCGGTGTGTGCTATCGACTCTCGAGAACACGGTGTCATTGGGTGTCTTCATGCAAACCAACAGAGGATTGTTCACCGTTCGCTTTTTGGCATAAAAACAATCTCAAGTCTTCTCTTAGATGTGAAATACTTCACTACACACTTCGACCCAATCAAGGAATCAAGTCTTTAATAGAAATCAAGGCAAGGACTCAACTTATCCGTATCATGCACGATCGAAGTGCAAAGATCAAGGTACAACCCAAGACCTCGCAAGACTTTGTCAATTGTATATCAGCAATTGTTACGTATCAAGACCAGATCTTAGACGAGGTAAAGTAGAGTAGTCGATGTCGTATTAAATTCCCTAATACAGACACTTTTAAAACTAAGCCGCACATCGTATTCAACGATAGCTTCGTCATAGTATGACGTGTACTAGTAATAAATCAATGTCTCAAAAATTCGAGACGACACAACAGTGCGTCGCGCTTTCGCTGAAGACCACAACTAAGAGTGGGCTGTAGCATGCAGCACTTTTGTAGAAGCGGAATTCGCAAAGACTAACGTCGTACCACCAACAGGTGCTCGGCATTTATCATTCTCGACTTTATGTAGATTCATTACCCAAAACCAATGTCAAATTTAAGATTGAAAAGCCACTCACTAATATCAAAAATGTCTTCTTGAATTTTCGTTTTTGTAATACTTAGTAGACGTCATGACGACGCCGCTCTCAACAGCGGGGCCCTCAGAGGAGGATGAGCGCATGAACGACGAGTTACTGCAGACACTGCGGTAAGATTTGATTGCTTCGATCGCACCATTGCTTAAGTCACCTCAAGACCACGTTTTTTATTTAAGGTCTTTCGGACTGTACGAGAGCGAAGAGCAATTGGCACGACGTGAGCAGGTTCTGAACAAACTGCACCGCATAGTGCAGAAATATGCGCAAAACGAAGGAAAAGCAATTTATAGTGAAGCTGAGGCATGTCTTAAGCATGTGCGGCTGCGTACGTTTGGCTCCTGTCGACTCGGTGTGCAGAGCTGCGACGCTGACATCGACACGTTCGTGAGCCTGAGCTTTTGGCAAATGGTAGTTTATTGATAGTGCTTACACGTACAGATTATGTGTTGCGCCAAGACATTGTTCGCGTGAAAGTTTTTTCAAAAAGGTGCCTATTCTGTTGGAAGCAGAGCCAAAAGTTACAAAGCTACGCGTGATTAGCGACGCATTCGTGCCAGTGATTAAGATGCATGTGGACGGAATTCCAGTAGACTTGTTGTTTGTATCCTTGAATCTTGACTCAATATCAGAGAATCTTGATATGCTGGATGACCAACTACTTCGAGGAATCGACGAGGCCGCGGTACGAAGCTGCAATGGTGTTCGCGTAACAGAGCGAATTTTGCAACTTGTACCCAATCAGGAACGATTTCGAACGACGTTGATTGCTATTAAACATTGGGCTCGGGTATGTGAGGTAGGAACAAAAATTCTCATATTGTACTTAATCTTTTATGGATAGGTTCGAGGCGTTTACTCCAACGTATTGGGCTTTCTTGGTGGCGTCAACTGGGCTATTTTGGTGGCACGTATCTGCCAGTTTTACCCGAATTCGTTACCTGCAACGTTGCTGTTGCGCTTCTTTAGAATTTATCAAATGTGGACTTGGCCAAATCCAATTATGCTTGCTCGGGTCGACAATCCATTAAATTTGGAATTCTCGGTAATGTACAACGCGATGTATGGTGTCGCCACAATCGTCATATACTAACAGTTTGCTTGTTTGTTTTACGATAAGGGCTGGAATCCTAAGTTTAACGTGCGTGATAGATCACATATAATGCCGATCATCACACCGGCATATCCTATGTTAAACTCGTCATTTAATGTGATGGCGTCAACTCTTCGCATACTTAAGGCTGAGTTCGAAAAGGGATTTCAGCGGACGCTTGAGATTGAAAATAAGGTATTTACATAGATATATATGTAAGGGCATCATGGGATAATGCTACTAAACCGTATTTTTTGCACAGAAGTACTCGTGGGCAAAGCTGTTCATGGCTCCAAAGTTTTTTCAAAGGTTCCACTCACGTCTTACGCAATGATTCTTACTTTGGACTTACTATCGATCAATGGCAGTTATTGTAACTTCAAATATTTGCGATAATTGTAGATCAAAACATTTTCTTCGTGTCCAAATCACAGCAACAAATGCTATAGACTTTGACGGCTGGTTTGGCTGGGTCGAGTCAAAATTGCGGCATTTCTTTCTCCGGTACGTGGATTCTCAGTCTTAACATATCATGAGGCAGCCAGCATTCTGGATAATATGTTGGAAACATAAATCTATTTATTGCCTGATTTATCTTGCTATTGATTGACTTTGCTGCATTGGATCAGGTTGGAAGCGATCCCTGGCGTCATAATCCATCCGTTTGCTCGCTTCTTCGATTTCATTGATACCAAAGGTGGAAGTTTAGAGCATCCTTCAAAGATCGAAGTTTATACCTCGTGGCTATTTATTGGATTGAAATTTCCCGCTCCTATAACAGTATCGACTACTGATGCGTCTCACACTGTGGATTTTACTAGCGTGATTCAAGTCTTTGCGTTATACGCAGACCAGTGGGGTGGTCGTCATGGGGAGATGGACTTGCAAATCAATCATGTTACACGGGCGCAGATTCCCATGTGGGTACTTGAGTCTGCACACAATGGGGTAGACAACCACAAACACTTAAGTAAACAGTCGCAATGTAAAAAGCGCGAGTGCGATGATGTCACAAATGGTGTGAGTGAGATGGCTGCTGGTGCGCCTAGCTCATCAAAAAAGAACAAAGGTACGTAGAGTGTTCTATCGAAGATTTTTCCATGCATCGAAACGACCTTAGAGCGACGTAGAACTGAAGCCAGTCGCGTAAATTTGGCGACGGAAAGCCGAAAGACCGGAGTTCTGAAGCTCTACGCGACTGGCTTCCACGCATATCAGAGTTAATTTTCTTAAGCATATTGCTAGAAGTAAAATTAAAACTTTCTTTGCACAATCACATTGTAAATTCATCTACTCATTCGTGAACTCGGCTTTACGCTTGTTAACAAAAGCGGACATGCCTTCTTTTTGGTCTTTGGTGGCGAAGGAGCTCCAAAAAAGGCGACTCTCGAATTTGAGACCTTCCTGCAGCGTTTGTTCGTACGCTGCATTAACGGCTTCTTTGGCCATCTTCACCACAGGTTGTGAAAAGGATGCAATCTTGTTAGCCGTCTTACAGGCCTCATCAAGTAGATGGTCCGCAGGGACAACGCGAGCCACGAGACCATCCTTCTCAGCCTGATGAGCGTCAATCATATTTCCCGTGAGAATCATCTCCATGGCCTTGGATTTACCAACAGCACGAATGAGACGCTGTGTCCCACCGCAACCGGGAATTGTACCCAGCGTGATCTCGGGCTGGCCAAATTTAGCCGAATCGCCGGCAATGATGAGGTCACAAAGCATGGCCAACTCGCAGCCACCACCTAGTGCGTAGCCGTTAACAGCGGCGATTACGGGCTTCGAAATTTTGGTGATGTCTCCCCAATTGGCAAACATGTTGCTATTGTAGGCCTCGACAAAGCTCTTGGTGGCCATCTCCTTAATGTCTGCTCCAGCCGCGAACGCCTTGTCGCTACCTGTGATGACTATAGCACCAATATTTTTATCAGCATCAAAAGCCTGAGCCGCGCTGTTAAGTTCCTCAATCAAAGGACTACAAAGCGCGTTCAGCGCCTTCGGACGGTGCAGAGTAATAATGGCCACTTTATCACGCACTTCGGTCAAAATGTTTTCATACTTGGCTACAGCAAGATAGAAATGGTGAGGTGGATATTTGATAGAAAGAAACAAATCGTACCGTTGGATGTAAACTGTCGCGCAATAGCGGAGCGCGAAGCGACTAAGGAGGAGCAATGACGCATAGCTAACATGTTAGTCAAGGCAAATCTAATTCTGACGTGACAAAAAGCGAAATGCATGTGATGATCGGTTTGCTGTGATTGGCTGAACTAGCATAGTTGAAGTTTGGCACGCTTCTAATCGATAAAACTGACGCAGTGATGGAAATGTTACAGTTGCTATAGTCATTGTGCTCGTTGCCAAAGCTTAGAATTAATCAGGAATACAAGAAGAAAGTTTTTCTCCTTTGATGCAGGTGTTAGCACTGATCCGATGAACTAGTGATCACCGATTCGATCTATCATTCCTATATCCATCCGGATCTTGTGCACCTGTACAATTTGATTAAGTTTTCAGAAATAATAAAATTACTAATTAATTATAAAACAAATCAATAGACAACAACCAAGAAAAAGAAGTCTCTTCTGGCGAGAACGGGTGCGTGGTGTATAATTTTGATAGGTCGATTAAGTATGGGCGTGTTAAGATGAATACACAGCCAAAGGTACAGGAGCACTTGTGATTTGATGTTTATTGTGATTTAATGTTCTCTCGCTAATTATATTTTTTATTACTAATGAGCGTCAAATAGCACTTCTCATGTGGTCCACCCATCTAGTGCTTCTTTTGTTTTTGCCAATCATGACGAGTGTCAATGGCTCCAGCGTTCAAGAGGCCTTCGCGCTCATGACGACGTTGTTGGTGCCGAGTGTGCCCATGCGATACCTAGAAATGTGTGGAAAGATGCTGCAACGACGACAGATGGAAGATATTTTTCAAGAGCGTGCCGCTGCCAAGCTCTGCGCTTTTCCAGCCTGCGAGAACCTCCTGTCGAAGTGAGTACTTTATATTTTGGTTTTTGCAATGTTCATATATTGAGGAGCTACCGATTGTACAATGCAGGACTTCTGGAAAATTTCGAGTCTCTTTAGCTCGCAAAGCAATCTACGATGCTCAATACGAGCGCCAATTTTGCTCACCTCGTTGTCTAGAGGTATTTTCTTCAATTGGAGACCTTACTTTTCAATCCTGCGATTAATTATACTAATTTGAACCATATTTGACATTGAAACTAAATTGAAGCAAGCTCGTTTATTGTTGTCGAAATTGGTTCACAAACCTCCACAATTGGTGCCGTCTCTTGTAGAAGTTTTCGGAACGGATAAACCCAATCCATTTGACTACAACGATGATAAGAAGCAGGTGAAAGATGATGCGAAAATAGCAACTCACAAGTCAAAGCCGCTGCCAATGGCTAAGACTGTGTGGGCAAAGACACAAGATTTGGGAGTTGTGGAGCGATATCACTTACCTGCGAACGCAATGTCCATGGGCGTTTCGCCAGCACTGGAGGCTACAACCCCGATAAAGCTAATTGAAAATGAATCTCCTGCAGCTCCGGAGAGAAACTTTCCAAAGGCTGACCAGGCAAGTGTCATTGAAGGCTATATCTTTCCGGCACACAAGGAGAGACTTGCCAAGAAATTGGAGATGTTTGTCAAGAAAAGTCAAGAAAATAACAGCGAAATTGAGTTAGAGTTAAGCGATAGTGATAAAAGTGATGCGGCCGTTAGTGAGGCTTCATCGGCAAGTAGCTCCGAAATCTCGGACTTTGACGACAATGAAGTGGTCAAGCTGGAAAATTTGCCATTGTTTAGTCACCTTTGGGGATTAATCTCGAATTGGGTCACCCACAATACAAATTTGGTAGTGGCTCGACTGCCACTACTCACACAAGAAGATGAAAATTATGACGTGTACTTATCACGTAATGAAATGACGAAGAGCGAAGTCGATGCTGCCCTTCGTCGAGCGCGACAAATCCACACTGAGCGTTGGAACTCACTCTCGCTCATGTTGCGACGATCATTGCCACAAGTTGCGCTGAAAGTAAAACTGGATCTAGAGCGCTTTGCAAATCACCGGATAGATATGATCACAAAGACCTTCGCACTTCGTGATGCCATTGACACCCGAAAGACGCATTTGGTACGATTGATGTCTGGGTTGTTACTTGAATTTATCTAACGAGTGCTGTGTAATAGTGGACTTGTCTTGCGACTATTTTGCTGCTTGTGACGTACGACATAAAGCCGAAGGATCTCCACAAAGGGGAGCGCAGGTACGCTGCAGTAGTTAAGCAGAAGCTTAAGCTTACTATCACCTAAATATGCTCTGCACTTTTGTAGCAAACAAATCGTTTCGTTGACAAAACTGGACACGATGGAGCTTGCACAGCTGCTCCAGCTTTTTTACTCCGTACGCAAGGAGAGCGACGTAGTTGCCGATGATGATATACCTCCAAACCCTGAAAACAAGTTGGATGTCCAGGAAAATATGCAGACAAAAATAGTTGCCGACAACTTACCGCCTATCTGTCGCAGATGCCGTCGTCTAAAGGCCAAGTGTATCTGCCAATTTCGTGTGACGACTCAAACTAATGAAGAGTTCTCACCTGATCAGGTAGGAGAAATGCTACGTGAGGCACTTATTTTGCGCGAAGAACATGTAGAGTTACTGCAGTCTGACAAGTAAACGTCAACATTTGTCCGCTCATGCTATCGTCTCTTATAAGTGTCATAGCGTACCTGTTTTAAAATGCTAGATTGTTTTGGAACTGAAATTTTGGCGTGATGAATAATTTGCGAATGAGCTTGTAAGGTAGAAAATGCCTTTTATAAAGAAGACAAAGTGAGAATCGACTACAATGCTTCAAGATTAATTAGTACATGTATCATCATCATCAGTCTAGAGTCATCTAATCCTATTATTTCTCATCCATAACAACATCTTCGTCTTCGTCGCCATCGTCGCCATCGTTGTCGTCACTATCCTCTTCTTCCGATGTAAGACCGTCGTTTTCCGGTAGCATACCCATTATGAGGTCATATTCAGTCGTCTCGCCAGCAACGTGGGAAGCAGGAGACGCCTTGAACGTAAGCACGCGCTTGTGGCCAGTCGGATTCGAACTGTAGAGCAATGTTTCAGCATCAGGAAGCTGAAAAGCACAAAAGATTAAATTACAATTCAAACTCACATTTTAATACTTCATCCATACCTTTGACAGATCCAATTCCTTATACCATGAAGGCATCTCAAATCGCGATTTTGATTTAGCCGGTGGTAAGCACGACGGGCTAAACACACCTTTACCTAAATTCTGCAAGAACACTCGTGCTACCGTAAGAATATCTGGATCGCCGCCCTTGCGCAGCATGTTGCGCTTAATAGCCAGCTTGGCTAAGAATTCTTCGTGATCGCGGAACACAGGGATCTGCAGCGCATGCATAAGATTCAGAGCGTCGGCACGCTCAATCGCACTTTTCACAACTGGAACAGGGTCTTCCACAAAAACACCAGCGATTCCGTGACGTAAAATGGCAGATGACTCGTCACTGTAGGCTGGATCAAGAGCAGGACAGTCGATAAGCATGATCTTTCCTCCATAGTGGACTTCTTGTGCTGTTTTAGTTGACTGTGGGCTGCTGGATACATTCACCATCTGGCGACGTTTGATTGAATTAATGAGGGTGCTCTTGCCTACATTAGGGTACCCCACAATAGCGATTCGGATAGAATTGTCCGACTTATTGGCCAATTCGTCTAGAAATACGCGAAGTGGTTGCACCTCTCCATTGTCGCGCATACCACTGATTTCCTGTTGGCGATCGTACAACGCTTTGTGACCCTTTTCCTGCTTGGTCTTTCTGGTGCTGTCTGAGATTTGGGTGTTCAAAGCACGCACAGGGATGGTTGGATGGAATCGACGTAAGTACGTGGTCCACTTTTGCGCTGTATCGGCCGTCACGAGGTCAATCTTGTTAAGTACAAGCACAACTTTCTTTTTTCCCTTTGCCACAAGTCCATCTTCAAGTGAGAGAGATCGAGAACCCTGTGGATCTCGGGCATCTAGCACAACAAACACCACATCAGCCGATTGCACGGCATGTTTAAGGTCTTTTTTAGCCTGTAGCTCGATGCTAAGCGGAGTGACAGCGGCGATGTCGTTGCAACGCTGGAGCTTTGCAAGCTGTTTAGCCTTTTTCTTGTCCTCTTTTCGTTGTTGTTGTGCAAGACGCTGGGCATCAATTTCGGCCAAACGTGCCTGTTCGACTTGCAGTAATAACTCCTCCTTGAATGGCCAATTATTAGGAATTCCTGGATCCTTTTTCTTCTTGTGTTGACTTAACTTTTCCGCCTTACGCTCCTGCCGCTTATGCTCGCGCACCTTACGAGCAATCTTGTATTTCTTATGCAGTGATAAACGCTTAGACTTTCCTTTCTTCTTGACCATCTTGACGTCTTAATAATGTAGCTGCCTGCTCCAGTCGTTCAATTTTCGAATCATGATTGGTAGAAATATAGTTAATTTGATCCACTTAGTAAATAGTGCATGTTCATTTGAAAGACTATGCGGCTCCTGACCCACAACATGCTCGTTTGTCGTGTCAAAGTGCGTGGCTAAAGCTGCTACGCGAACAACACAGCTGTCAACATTTTGTAACATGAATATTTTTTTTGGCTCTGAACAGACATGCACCGATACAGCGGGACGTGAGGCAGGAGCTCGTCCACTTAATTTTCCACTTCGAGTGCGTCTATCACAATGTAGCTTAGTGAAGCACGGAAATTGTAAACAAATTGATGCTATAGATTGCACCGGAAATGGATGGCGTTGTGGTACTAGAGACGCAATTTAGCAAAAGTTTTATGTTGCACATCATGAACACCATTGACTACCAGGCGTTGTGTGAAACTACCAAGGAGGTATGTTGCACTACATTTGAGTTATTTAAGCTTGGCATGAGGTTGTGAGCTACTTTGTGTGCAGTTAAACCATCCCGAAGTACCAATTCTACCACAACAAATACCGAGCGATATATCACAGCAGGAAGAGCTGCTGAAATTAATTCATCGTGTAATTTTCGACGTAAGTATAAAACTCATGAAAATTGTTAAGTAACATGTTGGCTTTGCAGCTAATTGCTAACAACTGATGATCTGGTTTTTATAGACCAATATTGTGGAGGGAGAACTGATTTGTAACAATTGCGGACGTATTTACCCAATTACAAACGCTGTACCAAACATGCTGCTGGAAGAAGACGAACTCTAGCTTTTGTCTACATTTTGGTTTGGATAGAACTAGATGAGCCTTTATCCTTTCTTCGGGATTTGCCAGTAAGTTGATGTACTAGTGTGCGAGCACGACGAGAGCAATATTATATTTATCCCAAACTGTTCTCCGCACAATGTCGCAGTGTTGCTTTGTTCTGGAGGCGATCAGGCAATACTAGCCACATCTCATACTCAGCGGTACTTGATTTAGTCTGCCCATTGAGGAGTTCGTTTTCGTCATCATCCGGACACATGGAAAGTTTTGCCCGCTGACTATCAATCTTCGATATCAACATTGCGCTGCAATTGCCGGCCCTGTCAAACATCAGCACGCTCGCTTTGTTGTACTTTAAGATCGCCAGTTAAAGCCTGCGGTGTCACAACTTTAGCTTCAAAGCCATCGTATCTGGCACCTCCACGCTCAACATGCCAAATATGGTTTGCCTAGGCTAACTAACAATGACAACTCTAAATGGCGACATCTCACTGTCCATCAGCATCTCGAAATCTCGAGATCATGCCTTTCTTCGAGATGTACAAACCACATCGTTGGTGTTACTATTTTTCACGCTTTTTCTGCTGCGTATCGTTGTGAGTGGCCAATGTGTCAAGTTGCTTCCGATAAAATGCTCTAAGCTCGCTCACTTCGGCCTGTAATTCTTCAACTTGTTCTTCTTTCTCTCCAAACAGCTCAAGCAGAACCACTTGATGTTTTTGTAACTTTTCGAATTCGAGCTGTACTTGCTCACGCTGCGCCTCACCACTTTCAAGCAGAGCGTTGCGCGAGCTTAAGCGAACGATCTCATCTGTTGTTTGCTTTTGTCGAGCCTCCAGAGCTTCAATCTGCTGCTTAAGCATTCGATTCTCACCCTCACGTAGACGCAGTCTCTGTTGTAGTTGATTCAGTCCTAAAACTGACATATTGCCATCTTTCGAATTGATCGAGTCGCTATTTGTAGTCTCCAGCGCTGCTTTTAATATGGACGCCTCAGACATTTGCGCGCATTCATGACTTTCACCATCAATGCCACATTCTCCAAAATATTGTTGTGAAGGAGAGCCAGTAGACGATCTGGCAGCCATCGCGTTCTTTAAGCGCTTCAGCTCTTGTCGGTGCCATTCTAAGTCTTGTCGAAGCTGTACCTCATTCTCCCGAGTCTGTTCAGATTCAGCTGTGACGGCGGCTGACATCTCTAGCTTCACGGGAATCTTTGCAAGAGCGTCCAATCGTTCCTGTAGTTTTTCTTTCGCGGCCGCTTCGGCGTCGCGCTGATGCTTCGCCTGATATAAGTCAATCTGAAGTGCGTCCACTTGTCCACGTAAGCCATATTCTTCCTCCTTCGTTCTTTCCAGAGCTTCTTGTGCACGAACCAGCTCAGTCTGCCTTTTTGACAATTCAAGTTCGTTCTCCTCCACCTTTACTCTAAATTCGTTTACTTGCTGCTCCATGTCAAATTTTTCTTGTTCAGTCACACGACGCTGTTCGTTCGCCTCCTCGATCCTGCCAAGAAGTGCTGCCTCAGTGGCTTTCCAGCTCTCTTGTCTCGCACGCTGCTCTTCTTGTAAATCATGAATTTGACGAAGGAAAGGTTGTGTGGCTTCAGATACACTAAGCCCCAACAATTCTACACGAGCCACTGCTTCCTGCCACTTGCGCTTAAAATCGGCAATCTCTGCTCGAGCCATTTCTTCACGACGAGCTGCGTCCTGCTCCAGGTCGCGAATACTCTCTTGAAGAAACAAAACTGTGTGTTGAAGCTCCTCTTTTTCAAGGTTAAGAGCTTCGGAAGACTTGATTGACGTCTTCAAACTGTCCAGTTCGTCGGTTTTGCTAGTCACTTCCCGTGTCAGCTTTTCGATTCGACTTTGAAGATTTTCTACCTGACACTTCGCGTCTTTAGCTTCTTGCTCCGACCTTTGTAGCTTTATCTTCATTGTGTCTGTAATGCCTATAAATTCTTGATTTTCAGATGCGAGGCGTGTCTTTTCCTTCTCGCAGCACTTCAGCTTCGTCGACAAATCTTTTGTTTCTTCGATCGAAGATTCCAATTGAGTCTGCAATTTCAGAACTCGTGCTTCCACCTCGTTTTTCTCTTTACGCAAAGTTCGTAATCTTTGCTCCAGGTGCGCCTGCTTCACAGAAAGCACTTGACCTTCGTCTAGTAACGCACTAAGCTTCTCCTCTTTTTCAGCCAGCGCTTGTTGTAGAGCCAGAACATCAGCATTCTGACTTGTACTTGTGTCTCGATGCAGCTGCGTCAATTTTGTTACTTCATGACGCATGTTTTCCAGCTGTTCGGTCAGAAATTGTGCACGTTCTACCGCTACAACTTCGCGATGACATGTCTTGTCTAGCTCATCATGCAACTCTTGGATTGTCATTGAAGTTGCCAGTAACTGAGATTCTCTCATTGCCAGCTTCTTCCGCAAACTTGACACGTCGTCGCCATCAATAATTTCCAACTCTTTTTCGATTACTTTTTCTGTTGCTGACGTTTCTAGACTTTTTTCTTCATCTTCAACTGGACTAGAATTTACTGCAGGCTCCGCCTCCTTCCACTCAGCTTTTAATTCGTTCTGCTCTAGCTCTCGCTTCTGCTCATCTGGACAATCTTCCTCCTTCACATACACATTGATTTCTACGTCTTTTCGCTCAATCTCAACTTCCATCTCTTGTGGTAGTTCTTCCAGCTCCATCTGTTTAGTCTCGACAATAGTCTCATTCTTCCGCTTTTCGTTATTTTCAGGCTTCGTCAAAGCATTGGCTGCTAGATCCAATTCATCTCTAGAGTTCCCAGTTACCTTTTCATCATATTCTAGAGGATCTTGCTGAGTATCAAACTGTGTAACATCTGCCTCGATAACCGCAGTCTTGTTCCCACTTGGTAGTTTCTCCGACTTCATGCACACAGTTCTATCTTCGCTGCGCATTTCACGCAATTCAACATCTTCAATTCTCGCTTCAATTTGTTCTGTTCCAGAATTTATTTCATTGGCCTCGCTTGCAATCTGATCCCGAATTGTGTATCCAGAAACCGTGAGCGGCAGTGGCCCACGGACGCCAGGCACACCTGTGACCACTTGATCAAATGACTTCTCTACGTCATCGCGCAAATTTCGAACCTGTTCGAGTCCTTGCGACACAATGGACGTCACATTTAGTTTGGTACCCCAGCCGCCCCATGCCGACGACATTGCAAAATTATAAATCTTTTCCGGAAAATTCAGTTTAGAATGATAGCATTTGTGAGGAAAATTGCAAAAGATGGAAAGTCACAATAAGGTGAGCAGTACATTAAACCAAGCTAGACGGTATAGTGTGCAACTGTGAGGAAGTGAATTCTGCAGCAACGAAGAAAAAAATCAGTAAATATCAACAAGAGCCACTGTCATAAGAGATTGTTCATGTCAAAATCAAGATTCTTTAAGCCATTTGTGATCCATACACATCATATGCCGTTTCGCACCATTTCACAACCGAGAACGAATTGATAGATTATTTGTTTATCCAAATATACCTTCGAAGCAAGGTAGGAACCGGGGCGGCCAGATTAAGAGCAACGACGCAGACTTCGCGCATCGATGAGGCAACAGGTACAGCGCGCAATCAATCAACCCGATGGAAGCAGTGGCTGCTGGTACTGGAGAACCGGAACCGATAAATCTTAGCAAAATAACTGTCCGTCGACAGCAAGTTCGCTACGAATGTCAACAATCCGGTCACATACGCCGTGATTGTCCACGTGAGAAACCCCCTCTCAACATGGCTCTCGTCGTAATGGCCCCGAGTCACGTGGTACCATACCACGAAGCGTTCGGGAAATGCCGGAGGGCGGTTTGCTGGGGCAGTGATTAACTTTTGTGAGTGAGGTGAAAGAAGACACTCCGGAAGTTTGGATTTCAAAAGATCGTTATCCTTCGTTAACGACACGAGTCGGAGTGGTCTCCTCGTGGTTACAGCGAGTGTAAAGGGTAATGGTCATCCCTTTATATTCTTGATTGACTCCGGCGCGCTGCATAACAACACGCGGAAGCAAAGTTTTGCTTGAAACGATTCAGTGCTTTCAGATACACCAAGTAGAAGCAATGTCTTTTTCTCAGTGAAGTTGGCCACTGGTGCGGTGGTCAGCTCGAAGGAGCATTTACAGTCCCCGAGGCGGACAAACGGATTGAACGGATTTGAGGTATACCGTGGTTTAAATAGTACGAGTCATAAATTGATTGGCGATCGAGAACGATTAAAAGTTGCTCTCCTGGCGTAGGTGAAACTTTTTGGAGTGATGAATTCACTTTCACTATATAACAGAAAAATCACTCAAGCGCTCGACAGTCGTATGCGGTTGGAAATGATCCACAGTTCATTGGTATATGTCATGCAATTGACATTTTCCAGGTTAGAGAGGATATGAAGCTATATGGGGTGGTCGCGGGTGGTCACTCAGTAAGTGTGTCGATCGGTACTGGGAACTGGCCGCTTGAATCAAATGATTCGTTGGTGCATGGTGATTTGCCCAACGGAACGAATTAATGAGGGACAGATGCCGGTTGTTGCCCCCTCACGATAGAAGAATTTTGTCGACAGTGTATAAAGGAAAGTCAAAGGAATCGACTGTGGCTGAATATGCTTACACTCCCATTAATTTAGTGCTTGAGTCGAATTGTAAGTCAGTAGGTACAGTTGACCACAAGACTACGTAGGTGATCCTTTCACCTAGTGTATGGCTGAGCAGGCACATGTGAAGGAATCAACGGAATTTGTTAATCGCGGTACTGATTCTCCCGCTTTGGATGCTATTGAGTCTGCGGGTGAGTTAGTACAGCTTACCACTCCCCATGATAGAAATATAGCATGCAAATATGCTAGTCTACGTATTGTAGATGCACCGACTGGTTCTGAGATTAAGAGAACAGGTACTTTTGACACCGTTACCGACGATGGAAGAGCTGGCTCGGCTCGATGAAATTACTTAAGATGACTACCTACACGACCTCAAGTGTGATGCAATTGCAGAGGTCGTATTGCTACAGTCGAAGGTCAGTTCAGCCCGAACTATTCACATCATCAGTTATGAATGATTTATTTCTTGAGGAATTTCAACAGCGTGTGAAATTATACCTAGGATCGGCGAATTATAATAATCCTTATCATTCACTTGTAATGGAATACAAGGATGGCGTCCTTAGTGCGAACCCACCCTCCGATCTTCCACCCGAACGTTGAGTCCGAAACGAAATTGATCGAGAACCCGGCTCAAAGATGCGTTGCTTAGACAGTGGCCACTATCTCTGAACAACATGAGTACATCGATGATATCTATGCTCAAAAGCAAGCTGCTGGTTTGGTGATGAAGAGAAAGCACCCTTACAGCGCACCGACGTTGATTGCGTAAACCAAATGTTAAATGGCTTATTGCTCACGCCTATAACAAGTTAAACGCGCAGCCGGTTCCCCCGCAAACGCTGATTACGTTTAAGAATATCATCAACCATCGTATGTCCGGCTGTAGAGTTTAGTGTGCTTGATTAGGTCGATGAATATTAAAAAATCTTGATGAGGGAGGAAGGCGTTCTTGTGACGGGTTTGTTAAACCGTCTGGTATGCTATGGGAGTGGCTTGTGATGCAACAGGGGCTATCCCCATCAATTTATCAATCAATTGGTCTTTGATCTGTTACAACCACTGCGGCGCTTCCGATAGACCTATTTTGACGATATTTTCGCTCATTTGAAGGACGAAGATGGGGGAGCTGTGGAGCACCTCCGTGTGGCGCAAGAATGTATGCGTGAATCCATTGCAAGCGAATCTTGCGAAGTGCCAACGAAGAACTGGTCCTCAGTTGCTATGTTGGTGAACATTGTGTTCGTGCAGACACTGAGAAGGTCAAAGCAATCGTGGTGTGGTAGACGCCACGAAATCAAAATGATTTGAGGAAATGAATTGCTTTGTCGAATTACCTGCATCGCTTCTCGCGTAACTACGCGGAAATGGTACACCTTGTATCAACCCTGCTGAAGAAGGACGTTCTTTGGGAGTGGTCATCCACTAAAGTATTTACTCAAATCAAGAATAGCTTCATGAAGGCACAATAACTCGCTTTACTAGATGCTACGAAGCCGTATAGCGTGGTGTGCGACGCTCATGTGCTTGCAATCGGCTGTGCATTATTGCAAAGGACTCAGAAAGAGACTTTCCAATCGTGTCGTTTCAATCGCGGCAGCTGAAGCGAGCTACCCTATCCGCGACAAGGAGCTCTTGACAAATGCTCTGGTGAAATTTTGTGTTCATCTCTTGGGTTCAACTCCGTTATTCGTCTACACGTATCACGCAAGCTTGCACCATGCAGTTCAGTCGCATCATTTGTCACAGCGAAATGCTCGCTTGTTGTCATTCTTCGCAGATAACAACTTCACGGTCACGTACAAACCAGGGAACTAAACGTGCTGGCAGACGCGTTGTCATGTCGTCCTGATTACTAGCTAGCTCATATCAGCAGTATCGAAAGCAATTTACTCAATGTGATACGTTGAGCGTTTGAAAAGAATGAACATTGCAATCTTATCATCAGAGCACTGTTATCGAGTGATATGGAATTTCATGACAATCTTCCTGGTCGCTTGAATTCAAAAATACATCGTCATGATGTACAGGTTGGTTTTCTTCACTATGAAGCTACACGTGACGACGAGCCACGGATAGAAATTCCCCACAACGATGATTCGAAGTACAAGATAGTGTAATCGGCGTATGATACGCCGATTGCCGGTCACTTGGACGTGAAAAGATCTACCAATTTCTCAGTGTCCAATTTTGGCAGCCCCACATGTACAAGTGGGTGGCATGATCCGTGAAAACATGCGATATTTGTCAGCGCGTAAAACACACGGCACACACATGTGCCAGCACATTCCTCCTGTTCCTTCTGACTGTTGGAGGTCAGTCGGTCTGGACTTTATTTCGGATTCTCCAAGAATGCTGATGGCCACAATGGGGTGCCCGTCTTTGTTGACAGACTCAGCACGATGGCTCGCATCGCTCCGCCATTAAGTTGAAGGTTTGGCCAGATAGTTCATAAATCACGTTTTTCGCAGGTACGGATTTTCAGACGCCACTATCTCTGATAGTGAGCAAGATTTACGAGTATCTTTTATAAAAGAACTGTCCCGCATTCTTGGCACTCGCTTACAGTGGCACACCCGGAGACCGATGGGCAAACAGAATGTGCTAAACGAGTGGTCTGTGATGTATTAGAAGCTTCTGTGCAAAAAATCCACAGAATGGGTTTCGTTAATATTATTGGTTGAGCTTACTGTGAGCATTTCATTTCGTTCATCCACTGGATATACGCCACTATGTATAAATGGCTTGCGACACCTGCAAATACTATTTCGTGCGATGGGTGATGTCTCTAATGTAAGTGAGGGAGGAGCTCGGCAAATCGTTACCTCCCAGATGGGTACAATCAATGATGCAAATATGAAGCACAAGTACAAGGATACCCTAATTTCATCCATCATGAGACGTGTAAATGTAATCACACGGGTGCGAAGCGCAATGGCAAATGCACAATATCTGCAACAGGAATACACAGATAGACGAGGTCATCAAGGCAAAACGTTTTTTTACTTGGGGATTGTGTACTACTTAGTACTAAGAGCCTATCAGACGATGTAGTCCCAAGTTTGAAAACCTCGAAGTTATTATATTGTTCCACCGGTCTATTAGTATCATCCATGAGAATGCGTGTACTATCGACCTACCACACAGGCTAAGAACCCATTCGACGCTTTACGTAGAGCTTCTCAGATTCTACCGTCGCGACGACTCAAGTTTCAACCTGGATGTCACGCAGGCTTATTCAAAAAAATTTATAGAGCCACGGCTTTGGCACGAGGGTCGACAGTCGAACCCCCCTTGGTGTTGTCGCCTGGGCATCATCCTTGGAGTCACGAGAATCAATCTGAGCGTCGATACCCCAAACGAATGATCGTGAGAGTTGGTTTGCTGACAGGAAGCAGATGGCTGCTGATTGCGAGGTCGATTACTCCGGTAAGTATATCCTTCCAAATCAGACAAATAGAAGCTCGAGTTATGACTTAAACCGCGTAATTTTGCGCCATCAGACCGATTACACGTGCTGTAGGAGACCCACGAAGTCTCATGTACGTACCTTACATCCTGCAATTACATCTTGATTCTGTCTAGATAACCGACAATCGATTCTGGGCATGGGTCCACGCGACCAAATCCGTGGACATCCACCGTCTGCAAGGCGCAAGCACCATGGCTAGCTTTTTGAAATTTCGTGATATGCTATTCGATATGTCGATTTAACAGCGCAGTCCACTCCGAATCCGAAGATGCTCGCGATGTAGGTGCGGTCATTAGTCGAATCCACGACGATAGGGAGAAAGATATAAAAGGAAGAGACCGGAGTCCGTCTTTTGAGCCTGCGTCGAACGCGAGAACGATATCGCGACGGTCGCGAAGAGGCGATCAAGAGGCTACCACGTGTGATCGATTGCTAAATAACCCAGCCTTTTTACCAGAAGCTCCTTCCGACCGCAGGCGGCTT